ACTCCCGTGATCAATTCAATTATAGTGCACCCTTAAAATATAAAAAACATCCAATGAGTACTTAAATATTTCCTGTCCAGTTAAGTGCAACTATTTATGAATATTAGGTACTTTAATGTCAATTCCTTAAATAATGTACTTAAATATAGTATAATAAACATTAAACACGATGGACGGGTGTAACTTGTCGAAGTAAAACAAACTGGAAAATAAAAATAAAGAAAAGGAAATAAAAAACGTAAACCAACAAAAAATAAAAAACAAAAAAATAATTTTGTTACATTTTTTTAATTCGCAGAAACCTAACAAACAATAATTTCTCCATTTTTTTCTTTCGTCTCCTTAAAACATAGTAACATCTATGAAACACAAAAAAAGTAACTGGGAAAAATTAATAATAATAAAAATTACGAATAAAAATTTATACTCCGGAGAGTGAAGAAAGGTACAATTAGATTACGTTGATATTGACTTGTGGCCGATCCCCCCGCAAGTGTTGTGCTTACAAATGAGGTACATCAATGAGATTATTACAACTAGCCTAATTAACACTTACACACTAGCTTAGACCGTCAACCCAGCTCGTCCCGAGCTCGCAGAGTCGCTGACACTCACTCGATGTATAATCCTCTTTTGAGCATGACACTGAGTTGAGAGCACTCACTACCTTGCAGAGATTCAAATAAACGTGCTTCGTATTATTATTATCATCGATAGCATTCCAACTGAATTCCATCCTTATTTACATTTTTAAAACTATTTTCATAAATTCCAAAAATGTATTTAACCAGCATTTATGAAGAACAATTATTTAGAAATATAGTGACAAGATTTATAACATTAATTTATATATCATAAAATACATCTGTGGGAGTTATAGAATTTGACAATGACTATAGTTGAATCCTGAGGTAGTATATTTGTACTTTAAATTTTATTATTATTACTTTTTTTTTAATTTTCGACATAACTCTTAAAATCTAACATCTTATATTTTCCATCATATAAAAAATCTACTTAAAAGCTTACTTACGAACTAAATTACATCCTCGAGGTAGATAAACGTACATATTATAACTAAGAGGCTATGTAGAAAATTACATTCAAAGTTGTACGTGATTTGTTGTGTACAACTGTTCGGCGCTAGACGCGGGCCGAGGCTGGAACCTGAATGTAAGGTCACTACATAGCCCATGTGACGGCAGAGGGTCACCATACCCGTAACAATCTTTGGCTTTACCATCACGACATCTCGCGATTTTATGTACACAAAAGAGAAAAAAAAATTAATAGTAAACTAAAACATAAATCCTACATACAAACTCAAAACGGAACCAATTGATGTGCTTAAACTTAAATGCAACTTTGATCCAGCAATAATGCCTCACAGCAAGCAACTAAAGTTATAATTAACAATATTACACTCAAATTTGACTCGAAACTATATCTTATACATCGCTCGCTTGAAGCTGTTGTATGGCGCATTGTTGGATCCAACCTTATTACTGAGCCCATGAAGATCTCACGGAGCACCAGACTCACGCATGCGCCTCACGCCGTGAGATCCTCATGAAGCGCCTTCTCTATACCATTACCTTCTAACCAGAGCTACAGTCACATGAATGAGGGAGATCGGCCAAGTCCAATGAAAAGGGATTGCAATACACCGACTAAATGTGAAATTTCCTATCACATCAAATATAACATTACAACTATTTAGGGACCACTAGTAAACTGTCCACTAATTAGCTTTAACAATGCGACAACTTAATTTAGACGTGTTATCCAATATCCCATATGTATACTGAATTTTGTACAATAATCACTTGAAATTAAATTATAATAGTCACAAACAATATCGCGGAACGACACAAACATGTTGCACAATCAAAATTGACATGTGATGTTAATGTAATCTAAGTTTTGTACCTTATAAATTTAGAAAGAAGCAAATCCAATTATTGATTTCAATATAACGAGCCCCTGGTGCCCACCGCTAACATTAGCAACCGTCCATAGACATACTCAAAATCCCTCCTTTTACTTAAACGAAAAAAGCTAAAAAAAACGTGATGCATTAATGCAATTCTCTTTTACGTATCACAAAAAACATTAAATGTCAAAAGAAATCACAACTATGAATTTTGAATTCATAAGAGAAAAAAAAAACGAAAAGACAAAAATAGAACAATAGTTTTTCCTCATCAATAATAATAAAGATAAATGTTAACAATTTGCAATTGAAGTAGCAAAAAAAAACATGTTCTTAACAATAATACACTTAATAAAGAATGCCGATAATTAAATGAAAGATAATAATTTTTATACAATAGTTACAAAGGATTCGGTCAACGTAAAGTATATATAGTGGTTCACTCCAATTCTCCTACAGACCGTTTCCACCTAGATGTTACTGAAGGCACTGCGTTCGTAGATGTTCGACGCAATAGAGCAAATACGTTATAGATCATTGTCTTATAAGATTGCGGCACAGTGTCACATCGTGCGACGTTGCAAAGCCATGCAACTTAAACTAATCGGTTCAACACCACCCTACCAAGTCCAAGAGAGGTCACAGACAAAAAAATAAAATAAAAAAGGAATTTTCTGTGCGATAATTCTCGAAAAAATCGACATTTGTTCCCCCGGGCCCTTCCCTCAAACAGCTATGTGCTATTTTTTCTTTTTTTTTTTTGGATTTTAATAAAAATATTTTCATTTTCAATTTGGAACCTCGTCAGCTATTCACTCGCTCATTCACAATGCCCGTCTGAGAAAGTTTTACGTCAATCCGTTTGTCATTAGTCAAATAAAAATAATATTTTTATTGTTTTTCATTTTTCTTAATATAAATTTATTTTAAAAAATAAGCGAAGCCTGTGAGCTCTTGCCACTTCTACTACCTTTCCATGACCCAACTGAATGATACAGAAATCAATACAGATTTACTCTTAATGTATTTGGCGAAATTCTTTACTATTTAGAAATAGAGATTTTCAATATAAATATCATTTAGTATAGTGTACAAATAGATTTAAAAATAGCCTGTCTATTCGGATATAAAAATATTCTGATATCCACTGTATATTTATAGCTTCTATTCGGTCTATTGATACTACTAGTAGACTTAATTCTATTCATATATCAAACAACATTTACTTGGGGAGTGTAGGTACTACAGTAACGGATAAAATTTTCTATTTAAATATTTTTCTAACAGATGTAACTACTAAATCTATGTATTCCACTTGCACATTTATACTATCTATTTCCAATATAAATATATTCTTCATATATGACACACAGATACAATTTGTTAATATATGAATAGAACTTTTTTTGCATTTCATAACAAAAACGAGGTGACCATTCAAAGAAAACTAAAACGCAGTCTTACAAATGGTACTAAACAACAGAAACTAAATATTTAAAAAAAGTCACTGAGCCTTTATAAACCATTCTCGTCATAAATATATTCAATAAAACGTGTATCCTAAAATATAAATATAATAATAAATATGAATGCAACTTATTCCTAAATATCAGGAATATTACACACAGTCGCTACATTCACACTTAACAAAAAATAAAATAAATAATACGATGTGAACTTAAACTTGAGGATATTTGGCACTGTACCATCTGCTTTATGTCACTAAACTATTTATTGCAGCCGAATGTAAACATATGAAGTATTACACTCGGGCGCCGCCGGCGTCAACACAACAAAATATAATACAATGACGCCGGCAGACGCCCCTACATTTATCATTTAAATAATTATTTTCTTTAAAAAATCTCAACTGGTTGCACTTGAAATGACTAGGAATATAAAAGTAGTAAGTGGCCTTCATATAAATGCACTAAGACGAAAAAATCTTTATATAACGGAATGTTAAAATCGACACCATCCCATTGAAACATATAATTATTTGGTCTCAATAGTAACATCCGCCCAGGCGAGCCTGTTACCAACGACAGTGATGGATTTGCTTTACACATTCATGCATCGAACCTTACATGCAATTTTTTTAATAACACGTTTTTACCTAACTACTTATGTATCTAGGGCAAAATTGTACTTTGTACAAAACTAAAACCGTTCCTCATTCACTGTACAGTAAAAAACTGCTGAAACTCTACTTTTCCGTATATTTTCGCACTTTTTTTCCGTTATATTTCCTTATCGACAGTGTGGCAAATGTGAAAAAATAAACTATACAGCCTGCTTCCTATTGTATCACAGATATGTTGATTGCGTAACTAAAATCATATTTATCTAGTCTATTGTCATTATGTAAGTGTAATTAATAAAATAAAATAAATGTAAAACAGAGGTAGTTTTGCCACAGAGTGTCGGTACGCGTGTTTCAACCTAGGCCAAGGCGGTTTACAACATTCTCCTATTATTTACATACACTTAGCCTATGACCATCAGTCTCAACAACATTTCTAAGATTCCCTAGCTCAGGTATTTCATATAAGCTATGTCATAACTCGACCGAGAGCACAAAATAAATCGTCTATAAAAGGTAACTTCTTCTCACAGTCAACTGGACATATTACTAAAGTTTGCAAAACAATATTAAAGGTACTTAAACGAAATGAGGGTGCAATAAAAGGTACGACATTTTTCAAACATGGTACCAGACAGAGACGAGTACTGAGCAACCATTCAAAGTCACACATGAATATTAAATTAAGTAACAATTATCGCACAATTTCAAAACCTTAAAAAATCTTAAGATCAAATTCTGAGGTAGATCTGATTACATAATATGCATCAACGAGGTATATTATTGTACGCGTGTTATACACAGTTTGAGACACGGCTCGGCCGACCATGAGTTGATAACATAGATACCGTCTTCGTAATCCAATCGTTAGCCGTCAGTTTATGGTAACGCGTTCAGAGGTAGATAAATCAGTCGTCCGGGCCGGTCCTAAATAGCAGAGGTAGTTCGGTTGAAATAAGATTGAGAACAAAACTTCGTGGGTTCTTACTGCGTATGGTTATGGAGGGGGCCTTGGTTGGGGAGGTGAGGGGTGACCTGATGGCGATGCTCGCGTGCAATGTGGCGCCGCACGGTGTTGTTGCGTGTGAAGGTACGCGAGCAGTGAGGGCACGGCACTCGGATGCCCTGGTGCCGTTGCCTGATGTGGGCGCGCAGATTCGTCTCGTATCCGTAAAGTCTCTCGCAATATGGGCATTTCAGCTTTTTACCTGGAATTGGTGTTGGCGTATTTTAATAACAATGAAACACAATTCTTAAAGATCAAATCATCAACATTTACAGTTAGTCTACGTAATCGGATTTTTCTCTCACCGTCAGCAGTAGCGATTCCACCAGACTTGCTTGTGAGCAGTTTCGTGGGCCAGATATCAGGGCTCGGTTTAGGCGGCACTGGCGACGTCTCCATTGGCTTATCGTGGTAGTTAGCATTCGGTAGCGACGTCGCGGGTGGCGGAGAGTTGTTATATGCTTGCGGCTGGTAGTCATTCTCACTCTTTATCCGTAAATCTATAAAAAGGATAGAAAATTTTCGTTATTGCTATGTTCAATTCTACAGGTTTCGATAAGATTCAGAACTCACAACTACACTACCTCACTACAAAAACACTCTACCTACTGCTGCTAAGCATGCATCCTGAAAAGCAGTGTATTGTTGGCGAAGAATTTGACTTACCCGCTGACGGATACCAGGGATTCCCTAAGGTTCCAAAAGGTGATTAATACGACGTATGACGTCGGGTGTATGATAAATATCATACCACCATCACCAACCATTCTTTCGCCATGCGTGGTGATTATGGAAGAACATGAGGATGAATGATAATGAAATTTATGAGATGAGAATTCGCTGACGACCATTCTTTGCAGCAGTCACAGACTGTATCATCTTCAGCGAAGGATGTTAGAGAGCTGACATGATAGCGTGACATCTGTCGAAAGCTGTAAAGAATAGCTGCCAACGCGTTTTTGACTGAACCTCTTCAAGAGGTTATTTTGGCCAATAAGCTCTGTTAGTACAAATATTGATATCCAATCAGTTCCCCTCTTCCAAATCATCACGCCAATACATAAGTTTCTAAAACCTACCTTCAGCACCTTGGTCATTGTTTAAGCGTTCAGGCATGTCGTCGTTGGCCGAAGCGCTGCGTTCGTATCCGTTGTTCTTGATTGGGTTGCCGTGGGTCGATGTGCAGTCAGGGGGGTTCTCTTCGTAGCGGGCACCAGCTCCTGGCGACGAACGAGTGTCGGGCTCGTCAGCAACGCTGCCGCAGTGCGAAGAAGATGAACTTTGCCTGGAATCAACAGCAATTTTGGTTAAAGATCTGGTCAAACAACACAATTAGCATTACATAAATATTGAATTGATTATATTTATTAACAGTTTTATGGGTTTCTTAGACGTTTACATCCAACCGATACCAGGTCATCGATCATTAAAAACAGTTATCAGGAAAACATTGAAAGACGCGATTTTACCCAAAAAATTATTCAATAACATTTTACTTATCGAAAAAAAGTAGTTCAATCAATTTAAGATTTATTTGATCAGGTGTAACCTCGAAAGCGATATCATCCAGATATGCACATAATGCGTTATTACACTGAACTTAAATAAAATTTTTGTGTCCAAGGCTAAAACAATATTTGCATCATATTTGTATTCTTTAACGAAGACAATGGATTCGATAAAATATTCGGTTTCTATTCTGAGCCACTTGCATAAGTGAATACTGATTGAAGAGATATAAGATTTCATTTGATGAAAAACTATGGAATATTTTTGTGTCAAGTCATAAATGTAAATGAATATTTAAATATTCTTTTTCCTGTTCCATCATGGCTGCAATTTAGTGCTCACCTGTAATTCCTTGCGTGTGGGCTTTGAGACGGAGACGGCTTTGGTGGCGCTGGTCTGCGGTGTCCACCAGCGTGGATAGGCAAGTGCGCCGGCGGGGCATACCGCCCCATACTGCCGCTGCCATGAATTGGCATACCATACTGCGGCATGATCGGAGCAAACGTGGCTGTATGAGAGGAGGGAGCAGCTGACTCCTGCACCTCACAGTTGCCTGACCCTGACACCGGACTGGTCTTTATGCGAGTCTGATGGCGGTCTCCAGAGTTCTGCTGGGTCTGTTGCTTAACCCAAGCATCCTGAGACATCTCCATCGACAGGCCTTTGACCTGGAAATGTAATATTCAAAATTAGGACAGTTTTGCTTTTGTAGCACCTGAATAAATTATCACGCATTGATATGGTAATACAATTGACGTATAGAGTAAATAGCATGCGTGTGTATACTGTATAACTTTGGCCTCTGCGCATGGATTTCTTTTATAAACCTGATTCTAAAGACAATAAACAATTTAGATTTAGGTATCAGTGTATTACACTAGTATTTATAATTTATATAAAACTTCATACGATTTATGTATCACTGTTAAATCCAGAATGTAATTATAATCACGCTTAACTCACCTGCAAATTCTCCCCACTCTTGAGGAAGCTGGAAAGCGCATCCTGGCTGACATGCACCTCTCCTTTGTACATGAACTCGAGGAGAGCCTGCATGTTCTCAGCCGTAGTGGCTTCCAGAATGACGTAGCACGCGCCCACATGACTAGGGGGTGCTGAGTCAAATAGCTCTTGGAAATGCTTACTGCATGCTGCAAGGATCACCTTATGAGCTTTGAATTGGCGTCCTGAAACAAGAAATATATAACTTTAGTCTAAATACATACAATAATAGATACCACACCTTACATAACAATTGATAATTTTTCAGATTTTTAACTAAGCCTGTTGACCCTATTATCTATTTTTATATATTTAAATATATTATAGATCGTAAGTCGCAGCCCACGCGATGCAATAAACAATAAACAAAAGTCAAGGTAAATGGTCCCTGAGCAATTCTGAGAAGCGTACGAGGGGAACGTCTTAACTACGTGTGTTATGGAACGGGTGTAGAATTTATTTTTGTTTTATATTGAGCCGAACAATAATTTACACATTCTACAAATACACACTTCAATCCTAATCTAGTGATGATGCTGATCCAATAAATTTTAAAACAAAAGAATACTGCGGTAACTACAATTTCTAGTAAGCTGTTTTATTAATAACTCTATTTCATTCTATTCCATATTATTGTCATAAAACTATTTTGTATCAAGAAGGAATCCCACATTACCAACTTCAGTTAACCTTGTCCTACTAGAAATAAATAGGTCAAATACGAAAGTAACATTCATAACCTGTACTTAATTCACCTGTTCTACTTAGTTATTTGCTAAAAAGTCCTTTAAAATGTGTTTATTTTAGTTAAATGTATTACATTTTCATTATTTCAATTCAAAATATCTATTTAAAAATATTTAACTCGGGCGCAGTTATCAAACAATCCATATGATTCATTTGTTAGCGTGGTTAGACTTAGTTCACGTTCACAATCATAGATGGCGTTACAATAAACATAGTGTGAATAAGCTTCAGATATTTATGTAATTACTCTTTCAATTTAGTATTCTCTCTTATAATGTTGCATTAGTTTAAAATACAGTGAAAGCCTGTGTGACTGAGTGAATATATTTTTGAATTATTGATTGTTAGACAAAACACTAACAGTGCAAACGATTCGTGGTACATTTATTCCCTTGGAATGCCACAGGGCTCGCAGCTAGGACCTTGCATGTTTATGAAATTGTACAGGTATATTATCTATAGTTACCATTGTATCGATATAGGCCACACGTATCTGTTGGTCGCACTATAGATAGCCAGAGTACTTGTACTATTACGTCACTACTCGCGGAGCGCGGAACAAAATACGGTTAGCCTTGGACCCGCGGTCGTATGCGCAGCGGAAGGCCGGCCGCACGCACTACGATAGCAGTTTGTGGTCAAACACAGACTTCATTTATTTTACTGTTTTACCGTATTATATCGGCATGCAATGACACCAAATCAAAAATGCAATGACATAATAATGACTTAAATATGGAACAAACCGTTTATAATTAGTTAGTTTAAACTTTTCACTTAAATGGTAAGATCATTATTATTAAGGTTTGAATTATATTATTAAATTTTTTGATTCATTTCATTTTTAAGTGTGATACGTACTTCATAGTTTGCAAGGTACATCATTAATTTTGATTCCTTAAATAAGACAACTGTACGTACAGCCACGTTTATCTTACAAGGTAGAACTACAAAATATAGCAATAAATTTATTCTATTGCACCGATTCCATAAAGGCATTCTACAATACAATTCAATACATTTTAAAACTACCATACTAGTGATAGAAAATGTCCTTGAACTATAAAATTATGTTTACTGTAGAACGCATATTGCGTCACAACTTTTCGTTTTCCCTAAAATATAATAATTTAGTAGGCTTAATATTTACCTCATGGGCCTTCCCTGATAAATTCAAACGCACAATACACTTTAATTAACGCAGTAATTGGTCAATTGTATCGCCAAGCAAAGCCATATAAAGGCATTATATCATACTAATGCGTACATAAGCTTAGTCGTCATAGTTATAAATTAAAAGGATAAGTTATTTCACACTAATGATGAAGGTTTTTCTAGTTATTATTACATTTTATTATATCGATTTAATGATTTGAAAAACATCATAACTGTATCAATTTTATTATTGACGTTATGGTTCAAATATTATTTTTAACGCAAGTATGCAACCAGCCTATCGATGAGGCACAGCGTTGCACGGCCGTTTCGCTGCTACAAGCCCCGCCCACAGATTTATTTGAAAGACTTCCTCGTTCTCCGATCGGTTTTTGTTAGGTGTTATATTATTATTAATCTCTCATTATTATTGACTAAATAATTACAAAATACGAAAAATACGTAATAACTATAGTTATTTTCTTTAATACCATCGATAATAATGTGGTTTGAATGAATTTCGACGCCGCTACGCCATTTATCCATCCACGCAAAATCTAGAATACCTAGGTACTACGAGTGCTACGAGATTGATTTTCGCTACGAAACTTCGTAGCACTTTGCTACGGTTTTAGTATTCGAGCCGAATGAAGTAAAAAGTAGTTTCAATACATTTTCTTATCTTTTACATAGAAACGTAACGTGTTTTTTTTTAATTCGGGTTTTATCGCGTCGGTTTTGTGTGCAGGCGGCGACGGAACACGTACTCATGACAATCTATTTATATTCTATTTAACTCAGTTATAAAATATTAATAGGTCGTGGCAAATCAAGACAATTTTACGTATAGGCTTGATGAACTCAACCAGCCTGTTACGTACAAGAATAAATGTACATTAAACAAATAATAATTATTGCACAACACCTCATTGTGAATAGTTTTTGTGGTAATTAAATTAATGAGTAGATTTTTTTTTCTTTTTTTTAGAGTAAACGTGTTTAAATAATGTATAATTATAGTGATGATTTTAAATTAAGTTAAAGTATAATTATATATTTCAGTACATGATGGGTTTCAATACTTAAATAATATAATTATACTAAATCTAGTAGCTAGAACATATTAGTAAATGAATCTACTAGTACATAAGAATATTACCTACCGAATTATATCACGAGTCAGCTCTAAATAATAGATAAGTACGGCAGCACTACGGTAAGTACGATCAATCTATTATTAATCCGATTTATCTACTTTAATCTAGTATCAGACAGGTGCCTTCAAGCCCTTCGTGATACAGAACCATATTATATAAGTATTAGGTACATACCTAGCTAAAAAATAGTAACACGACACATATCGAACATACAGAACATACAACACCAATTAATCATGGTCTCGTTGTATACGATCTTTCTGCACATTCAACGATCAGCTTATACTGGTTATGCATACTCTTAACAACAACCTTATTACACAGTTATAAGAGTGGTTTTGAAATAACAAACATTTTTAGAAGTGAACTTCTAGAGTCATAGATTAAAAATATTTGTCCAATTTCGCGCGCAACCACAAATAGAATGTGACACGACACTTTTGGCGCCAAATTAACGCTACGCAATCTGTAATCAGTAATTTGATTAGTTGATAATGTGCGCATAGATTAAAAATTACTATTGCTGTATTGTTTTAATCGATATTTTTTATCTATGATTCAGGTATTTATTGTGAAAACTTTTGTTTTTGATGAGGAAAACCTACAAATATTGCATTTAGCTGTATGAAAAATATTAGTATTATCTATAGCCTCCCCAACGAATGCAGTCCAAAATAACAAACAAGACGTTACATAATATAAGACAAATGTAAAACTGTAAATCTTTACATGTGTATACTTAAAAATGTCTATTTGTATGTATATCTGTGTAATGTATGTAAATTGATGGATCATATCTTAAACGCATTACAAACCATTCAACCTTGAAGAGGCTTGTATGGATCTTGTATGAAAAAAATACGTAAAATTTAAATACCTAATGAATGAGAATGGATCATGAATGAAATAACAAACTTAGTAACATAACATTATGCTTATTTTTCTCTGAAATAGAAGATAGATTTATTATTACAGTACTTTATATTTCTGTTTTTCTTTGCGTGTAATGCAGTAAGAGCCTACTGCCAGATACAGTATAAGATTCCAGTAATATAGTCTACCCATACAGTATTTTGAAGTACCACAATCAAACCAAAACTTAAACGTTCTTGAAGACATTAAAACAATATCAATTAACTGTTCAACATTACATTCCGAACTAATAAATCCGTGGGAAACGGTGAACCTTGAAAATTAAGATAATTTAAAGAAAAAACCGTAATCGATAGAGGTACGCGTGAACTCAATTATCTCATTGAATAATTATTGATTCGGGCCTTCCTATGAACCAATTTTTTATCGATACTCACGCATGAATAAAGTTCTATGCTTGAACATTTCGCTAGAAATTAAATACTTCATGTAAGGAGTTTACTTATAATCGCATATCGACAGGCCCTGCAACAAACGTATATACTGACCTATTTCTAATTATTTTTAATCTCTATCGTTGCATGTAAAAGTAGGTCCAAACCACAATTTCATGAATGCCTCTTATCAAAACATTCCATTCTATTTTCTGAGCCATCAGAGAGCACTACGATAGTGCCATAAGTCACTGCAGTTTCACAACGCGCATGCGCCCACTGCTGCGTCTGCGCACACCGCCGCGGTTTAACGAGGAAATGAGCGAACGACATTGGTCGCTCGCGCAGCTTGCAACACCACTGACATTGGCCCCATTTCGGGACCTACAAACGCTTATCAAGCATGTGTGCACTACGGACGCTATATAATATGTTATGATAATTGTGATTTAGATTTCTGTGTCAAATAAGCCCATTTATAAATATAAAGGTTAAGAAGGCTGAACAAATATTCCATTGAAAATATTTTTCAGATATTCATAGCGAGGCGAGGCTGTGAATGAAACAATTTTAAATGCTGAAAATATGTTTTAAAAAGGTCACATTGCGTAAAATTCTAGGTCGCGAGCGCAAACTTGCAATGACCTTTTATTTTATTTTTTTCGGTTACTCGTTTACGATCCAGTAAATCATATCAAAGATCGTTTTTATCCAGAAATATGTTTTATTTTTTTTGTTTTTCAATTCACCGACTACATTACTGGAAACAAAACGCGTCAGTAAAATTTTATAACATTATTTAATTCAGATTTATCGTCA